CGTCTATGGTAGCTTGAATGGATTCAGCCACCGCAGGAACGGTAAACCCGGCAAGGACAACACGCCGGGTACCCTTGCGTCGAACACAGTGCTTTCCTCCATTGCGACCAGATCTTGTTAGTCTTGCTATACCAAAGCTATGCCTAGCCCTGAATAGGGATGATATCTCGACCCCTACGTCGCTGCCCCGAGGCACGATCGGCCCTGGAACGAGAGAGGGGAGAAGTACTGAAGTATCATTCACCGAACAACACCGTGTCAATAATATCGTCAAGTATTTGAACTCGTCGTGCTCTGAGATAGCCCAGCTATTCGTTCTCAGAGACCATAGACTGCTTTACTCTGGTACTCTGGCAGGAGCTCGCTCAACATCGGCAATAGGGATAGGTTTTCAATACGCTGACCCCTATACACGAGACCTTCTTTCAGATACTAGGATTGCTTGAGGCCTTTCGGGTATCTGATATGAGCTTTCTCCTTTGTTTGCAGACTCTGGCTTGAAATATACGATCCGAAGTCGTTGGTCACAAATGGAATGGCACGAGCACTTCGTGTAGACACCAACATCGACATGAGCAAGGGCTACCTTGGGTGTCATGCTCAGTGCCAAGCAGGTTGGATCACTGTCAACTGTAGCAACGGTTACACTGCCCAGGGAACGTAACCCCTCCCAAGACTTTTCGTAGCGTTCTGCGGAAGATGCTGTCCTGAGCCCACGTTCCAAGGGTAAAGATGCACTGAAGGAAGAACGCGCATGCAGCGATGGCACCTAACCAACGCAGTCTATGGTATTGGTGTCCCGGCTTGGCTGTTGGAACCAATCATTAGGTAAAATGTCTGCAATATTCAGGCTGGGACCCTGGCCCTTGAAACCGGGCCAAGTTACCAAATGTGGAGATTGGGAAAACGGACTTCGTAAAACAGGGGACTTGGCCATTCTGTGTGCCATGAACTTAGCCTAATACGCATCAATCATTATCTTTTTTTCTCTCAAACATACTGTAGAATAAAACGACATCATCAGAGCTCGTAAAGACAGCATGGGACGAAATTTTACCTGCATCAAAGCTAAGATTCGATTATCAGGCGCATCAAGTGAACGGCCATGTACTTATGTCGGACGTCACATCATATGAAGGGGACGCTTCCCCGGACCCGCCTTTCAGGATCGAACGTTGGTAACTCCGCGTCCGCTAGCCACGCCTTAGTATCAATCTTAATCGAACCGCTTGTGCATGCATCCATCGCTATCGCATGTGGGGAGAGCCGACCACGCCGCCTTGTGGACGCCCATTCTTCGCACCCAAAGCTGGTCCCACTGGCAAGGGCTCATCCGGAACCATCATGCCGGCTTAACGCGTATTATTGCTGTAGAATCTCCGATGAGCCGCTGTGCTTGTTCTGGCATGACTTTTGTGTGCCTGGGGAACGTTCTCGGGGCCACCCGCATCCGCCCACTCGCGGGTCAGTCCCGTGGACAGGACTAGAAGTAAGAAGCACTCAGTTAACATCAGTAACTTCTATGTTTCCAAACTTCCAATCAGACGAGGCATAGTCCAGTGATCATCGACGATTCCATATCGAAGGAAGATATGAACCGACGTTCTTTACACTATTCCGGCCGTCTAGCCTTTTCGTATTATGATTACGACACAACCTACCATCATGAACATGGTCTTTTAATTACATGGCTCAACGTTATCTGGTAGTGACCACAGAATCATACCATCCCATTATATTATGCGCGATTAAGATACCGAATACGGTATGCGAGGCCAACATCGCGGGGCACACACGACTGAAGAACCAAGTCTGGACTAGGGTCAACAACCCCCTGTCTGTGTTGGTACCTTAACATAATACGCACACGCAGTAATAGTAGTTGTGGTCTGCGCCATTGTTTGCGTGGCAGAACCAATGGGTGAGTCCTCTTTTTTGGTTGGTCAACGTCGCATCCGAAATTTTCAGGAGACTTCGAATTGTTGGTTCAGGGTTGGGTTCTTCACCGTCCAGGATATGGACCGCGAGCTTCATTCCACAGAGCGAACGCATGAATAATCTCTGCGTAATGCAAAGAAGCGGAGGAGATCCCTCGACTAGAAGTTTACTACGCAGAAGAAGGTAAGTCCCCCGATAAACAGCCATTTGAGGCTTGGGAGTCGAATGAAGGCCGCACTTACAAATTACGGCGCTTGTCCGCCCAATAATGGCCCCTATGGCACCACCACGCATCGACTATCCGTTGGAATCGGCCAAGTGAGAAATCTTCCTTTGTTATCATTAAGCTGCCCGAAATGCCCTTCCTCAAAACGTGGCCAGCGCTGGTGCTGCTCAGTGCTATTTCCTGCACTTCAGCTCAATCTTACGACTACGTAAGTCACACTTCGCGTCGAATTTTGCGGAAAGTTCCTTGCATGTGCTTACAGAGGAGATAGATAATCGTAGGTGGCGGGACAGCGGGCTCAGCTCTGGCTACCCGCCTGAGTCTTGGTCTTCCCGAAGCTCATATCTTGCTTCTCGAAGCTGGCCCATCTGCTCCAGAAGAGCTTCGCATCAATGTACCTGGTCTGAGAGGCTCGATTCTGGGGACGGAATATGACTGGAACTTCACGTCAGTTGGCCAGAGCGCTCTCGGTGGCCGTCAGATCCCCGTCAACCGCGGCAAAGTTCTCGGTGGCTCGTCAGCCATGAACTACCTTTGCTATGACCGCGCCGCTGCGGCCGAGTACGAGGCTTGGGGCGAGATGGGTAGCGAAGGCTGGACGTGGGATGTCATGATCGAGGCCATGACCAAGTCGGAGAACTTTACGGGCTCCGACAAAGACCCTCGTGGTCGCTCTGGCCCCATCCGTAACACCTACAACCGTGTGGTGTATGATGTCCTCAACACATGGCAACCAGCCGGAACGGAGCTCGGCCTTCCTATAAACGAGGAAGGTAACATGCACGGCAACCCCATTGGTATCATGTTCCAGGGCACCAACATCGACAACACCGACTACTCCCGGTCTTACAGCGCCAACAGCTATCTTCCACTTGCAGGGTCGAACCTTGAGGTGAGGACCAGTGCCCAGGTCGTTAAGGTCAATCTTGATAAGACTTATGGTAACGATTACACGGCTACCGGTGTGACGCTGGCCGACGGCACGGTTGTCAATGCTGTCAAGGAGGTCATTTTGTCTGCCGGTTCTATCCAGAGCCCTGGTCTGCTCGAGTTGTCTGGTATTGGTCAGACAGCTGTGCTCAAAGCCGCCGGTGTTGAGCCGCTCATTGACTTGCCTGGCGTCGGTGAGAACTACCAAGACCACATCCGAACGTCCAACGTCTATCGTCTGAAGGATGAGTTCGACTCCTTCGATGCGCTTATCTTTGACTCTAGCGGTGCTAACGCCACCGCTGAGCTGCGAAAGTGGATCGATGGCGAGGTGTCTCTCTACGACTACACAACCGCGGCTTACGGCTTTCTGAACTGGGGGCAAATAGATCAATCGGCTCAGGCTGAGATCATTGCTCTTGCAGAGGCGGAGTTTGGCAACAGCACCAGCCCCATTGACAAGAAGAAGCTCGAGTTCCTTAAAGACGACTCCGTCCCGGACTATGAACTCATCTTTGACGCAAACTACGTCGGCGCGGCTGGATACCCTGGTTCCGGCAAGTTCATCACCATCTTCAGCACCGTCATGCATGCCCTCAGCCGGGGCAACGTGCACATTGATCCCGCGAACCCCACCGGCAAGCCCATCATCGACCCTAAGTTCTTGAGCAACGAGCACGACATCAAGGCTGCCGTCGAGGGCGCCAAGTTTGCGCGCAAGATTGCCGAGGCGGGACCCCTCAAGGCCGTCTGGGAAGTTGAGACAGAGCCGGGCCCGGACGTTTTGACTGACGATCAGTTCCGTGAGTTCGCCGTCAACACGGTGACGAGTTTCTACCACCCGGTCGGAACATGCTCTCTTCTTCCCAAGGCTGAGGGTGGTGTCGTCGATGCTGATCTGCGGGTTTATGGTACGCAGAATCTGCGAGTAGTTGACAACAGTATTGTGCCCGTTATTGTGTCTGGCCACATCCAGACAGCTGCGTACGGTGTTGCCGAGGTGGCGGCTGCGAAGATCATTGCGAGTGCTATCTGATGGGACTTCTGTACTGTGTGGTTCCTGCCAGCTTTCCGCTTCTTGTCTGAAAAGGATCACGTAGATACTTACTTTACTTATCTAATACTTAGGAAGAATTTCAACGATGCAACTACATACGATCGCTAATGAAGCTTGCTATCTGTAAGAACAATTTGTCGATCTCTTCATGTTCCTAATAGCTGTAGCCCTGTATCCCGCATGATTGCTGTAGCCCGTTTAAATCCGGTGGGACAGAAACTCAAATGCAGAGTTGAAGTATTCATTTGAGCAGCCGCCGGAGTCGGAGCCAGAACAAGCCGACTCCGTTCCAGTCCAGCCATTCGAACTCTCAGTGTCTTCTCTGTGATGATCACGATCTAGGTGTAAAAGACCGGAGACTCAGTAGGGGGGGTATCGTTATGATAGCCCTCCAACATCCAAAATTTGAGTATTAAGTAGTGCAGCTGCGAAGCAGTGAAGACTGAGATCTCATTCAATACCTGAAAGCCAGTACGATGTGCACTGACTATCTCTGGGTCTCAAGTGAATAGCTTGCTAGTTTGGCAGCAAAAAAGCGCTGAGACACCGGAGCTGGACTTAGTCTCCGCTCCCGTTCCGATCTTGGTCGGCTCAACTACAAGCTCCGTTGGAGCCTTCCGCTGTGGCGTCCTTTGACGCAAACCTTTTGGTCTGGCTTCTATCCTATCAAGAGGACTGACCCAGGCATCCTTCTTAATGGAGCAAAACGTATCTGCCGCATGACAATGACCTTTCATTTTGTACCAGGATGCAAGACATCGATGTTCCATTCGCTATTTCACATATAAGGTATACTGGGCAGTCACTTTTGATCTTCACCACATAAGAACTGTAAATACAATCCCAATCATGGCAGACATGCTGGATACCACCAATCCTATACAATGGCTGGCCGTTTTGGCCCCCTTCACCGCGGTCTTGCCAATTTTGTACATCCTTTACCAGAGCATCCTGCCGAAGCCCATACCTGGCATTCCATACAGCAAACACGCTGCAAAGAGCATTTTCGGTGATATCCCGGATATGAAGAGAGAATTACCCGGTAACCTCCTCAGTTGGATAGTAGCCTAGTCCCGTCGCCATAACAGTCCTATCTTTTAAGTCTGGCTGGGCCCTCTTACGAAACCCACTGTAGTAATCGTAGACTTCTAAGAGGGGCAAGACATTCTTTTACGTCGAAAAGAGCTTGACCGATCTAGCTTTATGAGTAATGTCTTATCTGGCGAGGCGAAGTTTTTCTATATTATACTTAAGACCGGGCTGTAATGGAAGGCTTAACGCCGTTTACTCTAGGATTTGATGACCCCGGTATTTCTTTATAGGGTAGCGGCTCCTAATATCTATAAGAGCGCTTTGTGCCTTCTGGATCTCTGGAAAAGGAAAGCGTATCTTGCTGAAGGGAGAGCCTTTTCTGCGGAGAATGATGTCTTCTACGCTGCTCTAGATGCTGTCTTGGACTTCGGCTTTGGCGACGCTGCTCCTATGAGGGCTCTGATACCTCAAGTTGAGTTATTAGCGTCGATGTCAGCCGCCAACGGAATGGCCGAACAGAGCTCAGCACACTATACTGACGTACTGGAATTTCCAACTGCGTCTATCGATCCTGGCCTGGAGGCAACCCTGCAGTCGGCAGAAAACGTTGGCGGGGTAGCAATGACCGGGTTTCCGAAGCTTGCTTGGTCAGTCATTGGGCTGAGACCGAGTGTACGCCGAGGAAGAGCGGTGCGAGACGATTTTCTCGTTGACCAGGTCCTGCAGGCATCGGACAGATTCAAAACTCAACTTCGGGATGTTGACAATGAGGACAAACACGTTAAGTCTGCAATTGACTTGATGGTGCGGAGACTGAACAGTGTCATGGAGAAAGAAGGCCACCTTCTTCCTGACTGGATCGAGACTATGAGAGCTGAGGTGAGACGAACTTGAGAAGGAACGACGCTAGATAACTTACTGACCTAATTCTTTCTTAGTCTGCCGGCTTTGTTGTTGCTGGACATGACACGACGAGCACAACCCTCTGTTGGGGCATCAATTCATTGCGGATGACCAAGCAGTTCAGCAAAGACTTTTTGAAAGCATTCAGAGCTTTCACACCGCAGCAAGTAGTGAGGGTCGTCTTCCTACACACGCTGAGATTTGCGACGCAAACATACCGTACCTGGACGCAGTTATTGAGGAGATGCTTCGGCTTGCTCATACAGCGACCAGTCAAGATCGAGAATGCAGAGAAGATACAGTCATCTTAGGCCATGTCATCCCCAGGGGTACCACCGTTATCGTCCCAAACCAGGGCCCAAGCTTTACTGAGCCGGGATATGAGATTGAGGAACGCCTGCGGAGCCCATCTTCGAGAAAAGCAGCCGCCGATTTTGGTTCCAGGGTCTGGGACTCCCACGAGATGGGCAGGTTCGAGCCGGACCGTTGGCTTGTACGGGATGAGAAGGGTAATGATGAATACAATGCTTCTGCTGGACCGACCTTGCCCTTCGGCCTTGGACTTCGCGGTTGCTTCGGACGAAAGCTGGCATACATGGAAATGAAGCTTTTGATCACCCTCTTGATCTGGTCATTCGAGTTCCAAAAGTGCCCAGAGAACTTGTCGAGTTATGAAAGTATTACAAGCCTTACACGGAAGCCTGTGCAGTGCTACGTGCGCTTGAAGGTTCGTTAAGATTATTGTATGCTATTTTATGTATACTTTGTTCAAGTCTGTGAATAGCAATACTACTCATCTCATGATCTCATTTTTGCAATTGTGTCAACGACCGAGATGGCTCAGCACTTGACCGGCTAACATTATAGATTACCATGGATTACTTGTGTAACAAATGATTTAAAGCTGCGGGAAGACGATGGTAATTAACGTACACAACGATCAATGTATTGAGCTGAAGTAATGGACTTATCAACTTACTCAGAAATGAATCCCATCAGATACACGCAGTACTGATAGAGCGTAAGCGGTCGTGAATCCGAGGAGTGGGCTTGGTTCGGCTTCGCAGAAGCACCCTGGATCCGTCTTTATCCGAGTTCAACAGCCGCTCTCCGATGCCGGTCACAGCTGCCGCTTTTGCCGCTAATCCACTCCGGCGCTGCAGCATCAGAGTATTGAACTTGGAAACCTCGATCTACAACTACAACAGAATTGCACCATGATCTTGATGGGTCATGCTCCGAAAAAATGACCAAGGACGAAGTATTGCATACTCGACCGCCCGTGGTTGAGCCCTTCCCGGTCGGGCCTCGAGAAGACGACAAATTTAAGGATGGGCGCCCGGTTCCGGCGCCATCGTCAACAGAACCTGGAACCGTGGTTCAACAATCGCCAGCTACTGATGGAGGAATGGTAGCTTGGCTCCAAGTTTCGTCGGCTTTTGCACTCTACTGGAACAGCTTGTGAGTCTTCGCTCCGTATCTGGGAGGCTTTGTCCCTTCTCCTTACCTCAATTGCGCTCGACTGACGCCTCTCAACGCAGGGGGCTGCTCAACGGCTTTGGTGCTTTCCAGACTTACTATGAAACCACACTGCTCACAAGCGACTCATCTTCAGCCATTGCATGGATTGGCTCAGTCCAAGTCTTCTTCCTCATGGCTGGGGGCGTCATATTCGGCCCGCTCTATGACCTCGGCTACGCTCGATCCATGCTATTGACAGGAACATTTCTCGTCGTCTTTGGCTTCATGATGACCAGCATCAGCACACAGTACTATCAGTTCTTACTTGCGCAGGGCTTCTGTGTTGGGATCGGCTCCAGCTGCCTGTACATCGTCGCCATCACCTTGGTTCCTGCCTACTTCACAGCCCGAAGGGCGTTGGCAATGGGGGTGGCGACCGTTGGAAGCAGTTTGGGAGCTACCATTTATCCTCTCATTTTCGAGAGCTTGCAGCCTCGAATAGGCTTTCCGTGGACTGTCCGAGTGATAGGTTTCGTCACTTTAGCCATGTCTTGCTATGCCGTGATTGTGGCACGACCTCGCACCAAGGGCGCGAAGACATTGATAACAAAGAACAACTCGCTAAGAGAAATCGCCGAAATCGCTGGCCTCCTAGATGCTAGATATGTGGTCCAATGCGTTGCTATCTTCTTCAGCAATCTCGCATTCTTCCAGCCTCTCTACTACATTCAAAGCTACGCACAATCGCACGGAATGGAGGGCGCGGCGCTGGCCAAATATTTACTTGTGATACTCAACGCGGTCGGTATCCCCGGACGTATTTTGCCTTCCCTCATTGCCGACAGATTTGGTGTCCTGAATACCTACATTGGAATTTGTACCATGACCGCCATTACCATTTTCTACTGGATCAGCGTGAATAACGCTGCCGGCAACGTGGCGTTTGCAGTTTTGTATGGCTTTTTCTGCGCGAGTGTCGTTACTCTGGCTCCGGTCGTTCTAGCGAGCATAACTAATGATCTTGGCATCCTGGGAACGAGACTTGGTTTTGTTGCTGTGCTCAAAGGAATCGGTTCACTCATTGGGCCGCCAATCGCTGGCGCTATCTTGGGATCGACTGGAAGCTATCTCGGTGTTCAGCTATTCACTGGTCTGGCAATGTTACTCACAGTTGTTTTTGCGGCATATCTGAGAGTGCTGATATTCCGAAGGAAAGTGGACAGGTCTACCGACTGACATACCATATTCGGAGACAGATAAAGTAAGACAATAGACTTTCAGGCTTCTCGTCCACTTGTCTACTGACTCAAGTGCTGGCTCTTAGATGTAGTCAATATCCTAAGTGAAGTCTCTAGCTTCTTGATGTAAGTCAAAATGCCATCACTCAAATGTCTACACTGTCTATGTCATCCTTCCCATTTGGCCTACACTATTTCATGTTTACTTAGTCTTTTTGAGTGAACTCAAGAGGGCTGGGCTCAGTGACGATGTTATACAAAGATCGCACAATTCACAAAAAATAGTAGGAGGCAACTAGAAGCCCTATTTCAGCGCATGGCACAGCTGAGATTATGGCAAGAATGGTCATTGTTGGCGTTCAAGATGCCGCCGCAGCATAATCTTCTAAGCTCGGACTATCAGCTTGGGAGTGTGAATATAATGCCCGAATCAGCATTGCAAGCCCAAACCCTTCATAGACAGCTGTTAAATCCACATCGAGGAATCCCCGCTTTACACCAGATCAGCCCTGTAACATGTAGACGAGCACACCTTACGGAAGGGACGCAACGCCACCCCGGACGGCTGAGACGAGCAGCCTTGGACTGCATACTAGGCGACATCTTGGTATCTGAAGTTCCCAAGGTCTTTAAGAACTGGCAACGGCACGCAGTACCGCTAGTGCAGCGAGATCAAGGCGCTATGCTCCTTTCCATGCGTGTAACCCCTCCATGGATCACGGTCACACCTCTGCCTCCAAGGCAAGGTACCCGGGCGGATGGGTGTGTAGTTGTCGAGTGCCCATTTAGCTGCCTGGGTGAAAAAAGGTAATAAAAGCACGAAGGAATATGGAGTGAGGGCTTCCACATGAGGACCTTTCAGGCATTCTGAGTTTACCGAAAGGTTAGTTCGCATATCGGTTATTCTAGTCCGATTACACCCTATCCCCAACTTGGCCACTTGCTGGCCTCTTCCAAGCGGAAGAGAAGAAACCCGCCTGCCGGTACAGTCGTTCTCAAAAGCCTGTGATTCAGGTTGTCGCGCAAATTATCGACCCGCACATTAGCGAACGCCGAGACAACGGTCCCAGAACCGCGGGTCCAATTAAGCCATCCACACTTTGGGTGGTCTGGAGGGTGGCACCCCGGTCTTCTTCCAGGAAAGATGTTCCGTTAGCGCCGCCCTGTGGGTTCTCCGGTCACAAGATTAGCATCAAAGGTCCTCCTGCACCAGAGCCCGATGCGTACTGGTTGGCGGAAAGCCTTGCCGTGGAAAGCCTGTCCCCTCTGTGTGGTATGCCGGAACCCCGGGCGAGACATGAAAAGAAGCTGGGTGTCATGCAGCAGCCATTCTCCAGATCGGAATCTAGGGGAAAGCATATGGTAACAGGCTGCATCGTGTCTTCTTCCGCTCATGGGAGAGTCAGTGCTGGAGCTGCATATTCACACTTTCGTTCATAGCGAGACGGACTCGGTATGACCAGGTGTGAGGTATCAGCACCTCAATCGGGACTCTTTTCTCTGTTGGTCTCCGATTCGGCTATTAGGGCTGCCTTTGACTCTCCGTCCCAGTCTGTTCATTGGTGCTGTGCCGTGTCACGGCATCTCACTACCCCAGAGGCGCCGAGATGTGTCGGGTTGTCGGTGCGGATCTTGCAGCGGCAACTTTCCCGCCTGGGCTCTTGTCTACTTGGCATAAATCTCAAGTTGAAAAGGTGTAATTAAACGACACAACTGCTTGCCATGACAAAGATGGAATGTCTTACACCGAGTCGCAAACTTGAAATCCAGCTCGCACTGGGTCCAGTTTCAACTCGCTTGCGAGTGCCATTGAAGGATCAGCAAAATCAGTGATTGATCACGCATCCTGCCAGTGTGACCCAGGGCATCAGCTGTCCGCGAGGATTCACGCACCGCTTTTTATAATTCCGCTTGTGTTGCCGGCAAGATGGAGATGCAATACCATCGGCTGAAGACTTCGAGTTGCTATCGATAGCCCATCTACCATCCTGAGGTAGCTGACTCTTATCGATTCCATCATGTTTACTGCTTCGAAATAGATCCACATGAGTACAGCCATGGCCACCTACACGCTCGCATGCTATCGAGGTACCACGGACTATGTCAGCGATAATGATCCTGCTATTCTTACCGTCAGATGAGCGCAAGACAAATTGTCCACTAGGCTTCCCCGAATAGCGAATATATTGGCACATTGATGAATGTGGATCGCGGAACACGTTCGAGGCCGCTGATACGGTCGACCCGGCCGATCGGACGGCGCTCTAGACTCCAGAGTACTCACCAGCGGCGCAGCATAGACAGCGGCTTTCGGATCCGTGACCCTGGTGAAAGATCAGAGGCAAGCTTCTCACACCGACCGTAAATCTTCACCCCAAGGCTATTGAGAGACTGTACAGTGGCGTTGGATCACGGCCCGCTCAACGCATCAAGGAGCCCAGTTTGAGGATACGCACTGCAGTTGTGGCTGAAGTGTGTGACCATTCGTCGAATAAAGTCATCTTGATGCAGAATCAAGGTTGGGGGTTGGCCATAGTGACTGATATGAGTAGACTCGGGGACTAGCGAGGAGAATGGACTGACTGGCAGACCAGGATGATAGGCACATGAGATCCGCACCGATGGGTCGCGTGCGCCCATGTGCCTCATTCATCGCCGTGGGTCATGATTCCACCACTCAGTGTGGATCATCAAGAAGACGCAGAAACCGGCTCCCATACGCTAGATTTCAGAAGGAGGAATGGGATTCCAATGCCGGTGGCTTGCAGCCGCGAAGGACCCATCAAAGGAGCCGACGCTGAATGGTTGTCCTTTGAGTGCGTGAGTACGGAGGCAAGCGTGTACATATCCGTCCGCTTCCTAGAGTCGAGTTCAGAAAGCATGATACTCCAATTTCTCCATCCAGAGCCAACGGCGCAACATCCAAAGTCCAATATGAGAATAGAACGGCTCCAAGATGACAAGGGTGGGTGGGCCGGCGATCGCAGGGACTGGGTGCTTTAGCTCCGAGTCTGAGTCTAGAGGCGTTTCCCGGCCTGGGCTGCCACATTGAGGAAGATTTTAGCGCGGAGGAAGGCGGCCCGTCTACCAGATAGGAATAGCGTCCTGTCGAGAGAATGGGGAGAAGACTCGGAGGGCGCCAGAAAGTGAAGATGGAGCATTTGTCAAGTCAATTATGATCCTTTCCGCCGTTTCCTCTTTTCCAGGAATGCTGAACTATGGGAAGTCACTAAGATGGGAATACATACGTCCGTGAGCTTGGTTGGTTTAGACTGATTTTCCACAGTAGTCTGGTTCAAAGACTGTAGCCCCATCTGGTGAGTTTGCTAACAAGCGTGTACGGAGTAAGAAGTCGGGGCGTTTCGCTATTGCGAAATACTTTGGCTGTCTTGCAAAGTACCGGCATGAAATGAGTATCGGTCCTTAGTAAGATACATCCCTGGCGTGAGCGCGAAACCACGACAGGGGGTGGGTGAGCACTCAGCAAAGCCCAGGACAGTGCCCCCCAGGACACAGTCCTCAGTCGCTTTAATGATTTCCAGTCTGCAGAAACAGCAAATCAAAGTTGACAGGTGTTGCTCTCAGACCACATGGAAAGACGGCCCGGCTGGAGTCGACTGTGAATCCTCTCATTCTGAGCTATTGTGACCCAGTTGGGTTTGGCGTCTCTTTCTCCAGATCTCCCCTCCAGTTTTTCTTCCCCATCTTAATCCTCCCCAGCCAACCCAGACGCCACAGAACGCGTTGAAGTGCGACGGGCTCGTGTGTCTTCGGCTGCGTGGTCTCAGGGACCCGGGCGCGCCACGGACTATCCGTACTGCTGTTGGGCAACCGAGGAACCTGAATTGGCTCACAATGATTCGATCTCGAAAGCAGTTGTCGCCTACGACAACAATGACATCTCCGATTAGACAACTGGGCAAATCCCGAATAGGTCACCTTACGCTCGACTCAACAGACCAACCTGGTCGACTCGAGGCAAGACGGCCAGCATCTCCACAAGCCCACACACTCTGCCCCAGATTCAGCAAAACCTTTTTTGGCGTTTTCTCCAGCGCCCCATCGAGCCGGTAGCAAGGCAGCACAGCATCCGCAAACATCCTGGCAAGGGTTCGGAGCCTGTCGACCCGCTGATCCGGGGAGGGTGAAAGCAGAAGAGGCCTGCCAGGACAATAGACTTGACGCTTCTGCTCCTCCGCCTGACAACGTTGGTGACCATAATCGAAACCCAACGCGCACGTCGTCAACGCCAGACACTAGCCAAGCTGGCCTATCTCGTCTGCCGGCCCGTTTCGTCTCGTCTACTGGGATGGGCTTCTAGGTTGACACGCCTTCATTAGCGTTCCTTCGCCATGCCCTGCATACACGTCCAGCAGAACTCGGCACGGACGAAGCATTGTTGGAGAGTAATTGGGGGTTTCCCTCCGCACTAAGGCAGACAGACAGGCCAGAACCATAAGCCGCCCCCAAGGTTTGTTTAACGAACCGCCTGGACGCCTCCCACCTCATTCACATTGATTGCGATGCAGCCATCACGGGACCGAGAAAACGAGTAGCTGGTACCCGCCAAGCAGTGTCACGTCCTCAGACGTATACTTCAAGGTTAGAAAACGAACATGGTGAACTTGATCTGACAGCTCAAGGCGAGATCCGGGGAATCCATCGAGGCAACACCTCTTTGCATGTCCTTTGCCCGAAAGTCGGGTGCTGGTGGACTGGCCCGTCGCTCAAGTGGCAACCCAGCATCCGCAGGTGTTGCTCTGAGAATTCTGAAAGGACAAGGGGTCGGTAGGGGGGTGCGTGAACGAGGGTGGTGCAACCAACGATCTGCCCAGCCAGTACAAGCAAAACCCAAGGACCATTCGCCCTAGTCCAGCCGCCTTTTCGGTCCCATGTGGGAATGGGCCGTCCTTCCACCCCATGCAAGGGTGGTAGGCTCGAAACGGCCGAACTAATTGATGGGCAATTGAAGGTTGGGGTTCGTTCTTACCAAGAACCGCTTCCTCTCCATCGGAATCTTACTCCTCATCCCCGTCGCAGGTGATTTCCAAGGCCGAAAATCATAAAACCTCGGCGTGCCCCCGCGATCCCTGGCCTGCTTTGTCTCGAGCTCTCCATCCTCAACCCTCCCCTCATCCACTTTCCCGCCTCCAAGATCCATTACACACAGCTCGGTCTGTGGTGATCGGCCATCTCAGCTTACTCCCTCTCAGCCAACTACAAAGGGAACTTGCGCCTCGGCTGCGTGCCGCACACAGTCAACATGTCCGAGAAGATTGATACCGTGGACACTGTCCACGCCCACGACCATGACTCCGACAAGGCAAGTCGCAGTGAACTTCACCATCAAGCTCCATACAATTGATCTTAGGAAGCAGTAGCTAACATGTCTCGATGTTGCAGAAGGAAATCCAGACCAAGGTCGTCAGGGGTAGCGAGGCCTTCAACGAGGCCATGATCAAGGAGCCCCCTAGTGCCTGGACCAAAGCCCAGCTGATGATCTACGCCTTCTCCCTCATCGGTTTCTTCTGTTCTACCATGAACGGTTATGATGGTTCCTTGATCAACAACCTGCTTCAGAACCCTTCTTTCAAGGATCGTTATGGCGCCAAGAACGACGGTATTTGGGCTGGTATTATCTCTTCCATGTACCAGATTGGTGGTGTTGTGGCTCTTCCCTTTGTCGGTCCCGCCCTCGACACCTGGGGTCGCAGAATCGGCATGTTCATCGGTGCAGCCATCATCATTATCGGTACCTGCATCCAGGCAACTGCCAATGGCACTAGCCAATTCATGGGAGGTCGGTTCCTGCTCGGTTTCGGTGTCTCCATCGCCGCATCCGCTGGACCCATGTACGTCGTCGAGATCAACCATCCAGTAAGTGACAACCTCCACTCATCGAACAAGGTGAAGAATATCGTATTAACGACTCATAAAGGCCTACCGCGGAGTCGTTGGAGCGCTATACAATACCCTGTGGTTTTCTGGAGCTATTATTGCTTCTGGTGCAGCCCGCGGAGCCCTGGACATCGAGGGCGATGCCTCGTGGCGTCTCATCACCTGGCTTCAGGCTCTGTTTTCCGGACTCATTGTCATCTTCTGCATGTTTATGCCAGAGTCTCCCAGATGGCTATTCGTCAACAATAAGAAGGAGAAGGCTGCCGAAGTACTCGCAAAGTACCACGGAAATGGCAACCCCGACTCTCCATGGGTCAAGCTCCAGCTACACGAGTATGAAGAACTCCTCAACATGGACGGCGCCGACAAGCGCTGGTGGGACTACCGTGCGCTGTTCCGCAACCGCGCTTCCGTCTACCGTCTCTCCTGCAACGTCTGTATCTCAATCTTCGGTCAGTGGGCCGGCAACGCTGTGCTGTCGTACTTCCTCGGATCCGTTCTCGACACCGCCGGCTATACCCACCCCATCCAGCAAGCCAACATCACCCTCATCAACTCTTGCCAGCAGTTCCTGTGCGCCATCTTTGGTGCTTTGCTCGTTGATAGAGTCGGTCGTCGTCCCCTACTGCTCTTCTCTTTCACCGCTTGCACAATTGTTTGGCTCGGCATGACTGTCGCCTCAGGTATTTTGTCCAAGTCTCAGATCGGCGAGACGGACAGTGGTGCCCCCATCTTCAACAACCCGGCTGCGTCCCAGGCTTGCTTGGCCATGATCTTCATCTTCGGTTCCGTCTACTCGGTCGGTATCACGCCCCTTCAGGCTCTTTACCCCGTCGAGGTGCTCTCCTTCGAGATGCGCGCCAAGGGTATGGCCTTCTCCAACTTGGCTGTCAACGCCGCCGGCCTCCTGAACCAGTTCGCCTGGCCCGTCTCCATGGAGAAGATTGCCTGGAAGACTTACATCATCTTCACCATCTGGGACGCAGTCCAGACCGCTGTCATCTACGTCTTCATTCCCGAGACCAAGGGTCGCACTGTAAGTATCCTGCCTAAGCCTAGTGACCTTTTCGAGGCATGTGCTGACTCATTTGAAACAGCTCGAGGAACTCGATCACATCTTCGCTGCCGACAAGCCAGTCAAGGCTTCCATCCAGAAGAAGGAGGTCGCTGTCGACCGCTACGGCGATGTTGTCAACGTCCAGGACGTCTAAACGCTTCAACCAGCTTACGATGTCAATCAAATTACGTGATCCAGAGAGCGAGATAGTTGTGGCGCTGTGTTCTGTCGGGGAGTAAAGATTTAATGATACAAGGACACGGAAACAGCTGGGTCGTGTCACCTATTTTTTGCATGGTTGGCGAGGTTTTATGTTTTGGGGCCGCTTTACGGCGGCTGTTGAATACGGGCCACCCAATCGCAAGCCTTTGCTATCTTCTATACCTATTATACCACCTTTTATCCACTGCAAAACTAAACTTGGTGATCTGCCGATAATGCTTTTGTCTGGAAGTTCGAAACACTCCTACTCGCGGTTCTGTCTCAGCATCAGTCTCTTCACGTTTATGCTCTTGAGAAGAGGGAAGCGAGTATTCCGGTGCATGAAAGACCGTATTCCTACTCACAGTGGGTGTACTACTTAGAGATGGATTGCATTGTGGGTAGCATACAAACCATTCATACCCGTATCTAGCTGTTGAACTTTGGGGTCGAGCCTCGTTATCGGATTTATATTATATTGCTATTTCAGCTAAAGGTATAGTATCCCAAGCGTTTGTTGGGAACTCTCTTAGTAAGATCATCACCGACGACCGAATGCTTGCCCTCGCGAACGACTTAGAGACATGGCTTCCAACAAGCTATCATAGTCACGATACCTTACTGTAACTAGTATTGCAGCCTCAACTATTGTCAGCACACACCTCACCGAGACTAGCTGGCCGTAAACCAGGTCGGCGCGTTTGGGGATGTAGCAAGAAATGTAGAAATCTAAGTGATTTCTTGTTCTTTAAAAGGAACGCTTCAGCCTACAGCATCTGATTCTTGATCAAAGCTAATCCTGTGGGAAGGTTTTATTAATATTCAGTTCATAAGTATGCAACCCTTAGTCTTTATACATACTACTTCACTCAAGATCCCGTATCTATAGTAGGGCCCAGGGCTTCAAATGAGTCGACATCATCCGCAGACCAAGTCAAGAGGTTGCTCACGAGGTCGTCCGGAGGGAAGTATTCTCCGAGGTCTGTAAACGTCTCTGGTAACCTGTAGTCTGAGGACGGAACTTGTCTGTCGAGTCCCGAATACCCCATCAGGCTTCTCTCTGGCCTTCCAAGAGATTCCGCAAAAGCCTTGGGAGTCATGAGAAACCATTTCTTAAACTGCCGGTGGAGATGCGCGCTTGCCACACCCAGCTTCCGCGCCAGGCCCCCTACGGTCCACTTGAGGCTGTGGGCCTCGGCGGCTACAATCATAGCATGCGCATGCTGTGCAATCTTGCGACCGCTGCTGTCCCGGCTCCAGTCGTCATTACATGGCTCGCACCGCTTGCAGGGCCGATATCCGGATTGCGAGGCATGCTGCAGGTCGTCGAAGAAGATGATGTTGCCTCGTCGAGCGACACGACCGGGGCACGTAGGCCGGCAGAAGATTTGGGTTGATTTGACACCATAGAAGAAAGACGAATTAGCAGAGAGGTCGCGACGAGAGACGAGAAGCCATCGGGCAGAATCGATGTTGTCGTTGGTTTGAGAGGCCATCGACAGGAAGGTTGATGATGATGGTTCCAGGCCATGGGAAAAAGATGAAGAGAGGTTTGACGTCGAGATTTGTCTTGGCTCAGTCAATAGCCTGTCTGGACCCGATCTCGGCTCTCACTAGTTAAAGCATATGATTGGCTGATTCGAGGTCATCTTTCAGATCAACGATGTGATTGGTCAGTTCGAGATCACAACCCCTTCACTGTCGGAATGGTGTTGTTCGCATATAAATGCGTTGTACTTTCCGTCAAACCAGACAAGTTTTGATATTGCAACACAGATTAAGAGATGATAAAATTTTAGCAATCTAGAGTGTCCAATCCTTTCCACGAGCCCAATATCCAAGAAGACCATGGACAGTCCCGCTGCTGCCAACGTATTCGGCACCCTTGGGGCAGTGCTTTGGTCGCTTCAGGTAGGAAGCAACTTTTCTGTTTGTAGTCTTTTCAAATCATCTTTACTAAAACTCGTTCAAGCTCTTACCTCAAATTTGGAAGAACTGGCGGCGGCACGACACCCAGTCCCTTTCGTCGACGTTTTTCCTCTCATGGGCTGTCGCTGGGGTCCCCCTCGGCGTGTACAACATCGCCGACGATTTTAATATTGCTCTCCAGATACAGCCCAATATCTTGATCTTCCTCAGTCTTTGGACCTGGTTTCAGTGCAAATATTATGGCGACAAATGGGGCACACGGAAAATAGTGGCTAGCGTCACCGGCATAGCCATTGTTCTGGCCGGTGCCGAGGTTGGCCTTGTTTACGCACTCAGATTGGCACGCGAACGCGGGCACACTTGGCCATCAATTCTCATGGCTATTGTAGCTGCGATACTTCTTGCTGGTGGTGTACTCCGACATTACCTTCAGATGTTGAAGACTCGATCGGACGCGGGCTTGTCACTCAAGTTCGCTACATTGGATCTGAGCGGGGATGTTGCATCGCTTCTCTCTGTGCTATTTCAGAAGACACTCAAAATCTATGGAATCGTTATATATGGATCAGAGTTGGCGATATGGGTCGGGTTGATAGGCCTAGCTATCCATTATCGCCGTGTCCGCAATGCCGAATCTAGCAAAGGACCAGTGACGGACATGGTGGTATCAGGCAGAGAGGAGAACCAGGCATCAGGCCGCGACGAGGAGAATCAGGCTTTCTAGAGCGCTCAAAAGGCTCTCATAAGCTTTGATACTTGACTTGTATTTCCGCAGCCATTGACTGCGCAATAGTTCTGGAGATATCAGGGTCGGGACGTAATTTGCATATCCGCGCGGATAGCCCTTCATAGAAATGTCCACTGGGAGCAATCTTGAACTACATGGCACAGTTGTAGCGTTTGATTAGATGCGCGGGTGCGACTACTTGCACCTTTATCTAGCAGGTTATCAATGGAAAATTACAAAAAAGCAACTGGTGCTTCGTACGCTTGCTGCGACCATCTGTGTTAATGAGTTAGTTTCGCATCGTTGAGTCCATGCAGCAGCTGTGGGCACAAAGGCTGGCGACGGTTCTGTTTCCCAAGCGTCTACGATAGGTGCTGTTTACTAACCCAGCCGCATTGGATACATAATCAGCGAGCTTAAACAGGGCTGACACGGTTCAAGTTGACCTGGTTTTGCCCCGCCTCTAAGCCTGCAAATACGGCGCAGGGTATTAAGTACGTTCTGCAATCAACCCGTAGCGCATGCAAGCTTTGTTGGTTCATCCCGAATTAAACATTTCAAAGTCTAAAGACTACAACGCTGTCGAGACAAAGCAGCTGTCATGATAGCGTTTGATTGCAGATCCTCTTTAAAGTCTGCCGAGCGGGTTCATAATCCATGACGTCCAACAAGACGGGGGACAGGCCTTGGCCAGCCCCATCTCAGATCGAAGTTTGTGCTTTTCGGGAAGGTCGAACATCGAACTTTGAATAACGAGTTCGTATCGTCGAATGAGGCGCCAGGACCGATCAGGTAGGTAGCATTCGGACACGCAAAGACGCAATCGAGTCCCTGGACCCCTCGTACGACGCTGCGGCACCCACGGACTGAGATTGCGATGATCGGCATCGACACGGACAGCACAAATATGGCCGGGGGCGCGACTTGTTGGCGCGAGTTCTGTACGGTCTGCAGCTGCCTTCATTCCAAGTTGGTCTTCTTTCTCACTTCAAGGCCAAACGGACACGATGGCGCCGTCTTGGCTGACAGTTGGCTTCCTCGGCTTGATCCGGGTCACCGCAGCTCTGGGACCGCAACTTAGCCCGGCTCAGATGTGGAGGGAGTTCCATCTCCAACCCGAGCTCGAACCCGCTGCCGAAGGAGCTGCAGGCCCCAAACTCGTCCGATTATTCGCCAACGACAGCGCCCCCGGCGCGCCGGATCCGTCCACTCTCTACCGGCCTTTCAACTTTTCGGTTCCCATTGACCACTTCCACAATGACTCAATGTACGAGCCGCACTCGAATGGCAGCTTTCCTCTGCGATACTGGTACGACGACCGGTTTTACAAGCCTGGAGGCCCTGTCATCGCCCTGACAGCGGGTGAAACCAGCGGCGCGGGCCGCTTGCCTTTCTTGCAAAAGGGCATCGTTGCCATCCTGGCGGAAGCAACCAACGGAGTCGGCGTCATCTTGGAACATCGGTACTATGGCCGCAGCTATCCCACCCCAGACTTCAGCACGGAAAACCTGCGATTCCTTACGACGGACCAAGCCTTGGCGGACACTGCTTACTTTGCTAAGAACATTGTCTTCCCCGGCAAACTGGCAGGAGTAAACTTGACGGCACCGGAAACACCGTGGATCGTGTACGGAGGCTCGTATGCCGGCGCATTCGTCGCGTTTCTGCGCAAACTGTACCCTGAAGTCTTTTGGGGCGCGATCTCTTCTTCTGGCGTCACTGCCGCCGTGGTTGACTTTTGGGAATACTATGAAGCCGCGAGACGTTTCGCCCCCGAGGGATGCGCAGAGACGACGCAGAAACTGATGCACATGGTGGACAACATCCTGATGCAGAAGGGCAACACGACTGAGGAGGACATCGTGACATTGAAGACTGCCTTCGGACTCCCTAACGTGACTGCGAGCGTCGACTTTGCGAGCGCGATTGGGGGCGGCATCGCAGGGCTACAGGGTCGAAACTGGGACCCAGCCCTTGACAGCGACGATTTCCTTCTCTACTGCGGCAACATGACCTCTGACGATCTCGTGTGGCCCGCGACGGACAGCCTTGACTCCAGTGCTCGGTATCTACTTGAGATTGGCGGCTATGAGTCAGAAGTCACGGAGCTGGCCCCTCGACTCAAGAACTACATTGGCTACGTCAACTACACATCGTCCTGGTGCGACTCGGAGAACCAAGACGAATGCTTCGGACCCGGAAGTGACGATGCGTATGCGGCGGATGATCTCAGCGCGTCCTGGCGTCTGTGGGCCTACCAGTATTGTTCGCAGTAAGTGATCGAACGAAGAATTATTTTGACCAAACTCTGACACTTGTGTGTAGATGGGGCTACCTTCAGACCGGCTCCGGCGTTCCGGAAGACCAGCTACCTTTGATCTCACGCCTGATTGACATCGAATATTCCACAGTCATCTGTCGCAAGGCTTTCAACATCACCTCGCTACCTGACGTTGAAGCCATCAACAAGTACGGTGGTTATAACTTCAGTTACCCTCGCGTAGCCATCATTGATGGCGAATCTGACCCCTGGCGATCTGCGACTCCTAACAAGATCGGGCTTCCGCGGCCAGAGTCGACTACCGAGGAGCCCAACTTGGTCATCACGGGCGGAGCAGTTCACCACTGGGACGAGAATGGCATTTTCAAGAACGAGACAACGGCTGATCTGCCACCGTTGCCTGTCAAAGAGGCCCAGAGCTTCGAGGTGGAGTTCGTACAAGCCTGGCTCAAGGAGTTTGCTGCGACAAGAAAGTAGATAGCATTACATGTACTGAAGATAATTTTGCACTACAAAGAGCTTTGGATAGCGAAGTGTGTACACGAGACAAGACAAACCATCGGACGCTACATAGAAAATATCAACGCCATTACTGCTCAGCATATTCTGGAGAATCTATGGCTGTGACTACTGGTTTAGACCTCTCGTCACTTTTTCGCAGCCTCAATAATGATATCAGCAGCTCTCTCCGCAATTCCATATACCGCAGTCTGAATATGCGCTGAGATCAGGACAGGTATGATACTCGCGTCTACGACTCTGAGATTTTCCGTCCCGTAGACCTTGAGTGACGGATCAACGACGCCGCCGTCTTCTTTCGGGAGCATTGCGCAAGTACCAACTGGGTGATAGATGGACAAGGTGGTCTTGAGAGCAAAGTCCCGCCACTGCGCGTCAGTCGTGGTGTTCAAGCCTGGCTCGTACTCCGAAACCCATGTGGATCTGAGAGGTTCGGTGAGAGCAACCTGACGACACTTTTTGATGGCTTGGATGGCTGCTTGCAAGTCGTACTCGTTTGAAAGATACTTCGGGTCGATGAGAGGTGGTGCCAAGGGGTCGGCAGGGTTGACGTGGACATGCCCTCGGCTCAGTGGGTGCATAACGGCCGCGATGAGCGTGAAGTAGTCTTTGCCGTAACCTAGACTTCCTGAAGCAGGATACCCCTTGACGCCGGTATATCCGTCGCTAAACAGGATTTCCAGTTGGGGTACCGTCGTATCGTTGAGCCATTGAAGTTTTCTCTTCTCGACCGGGTTGTTAGTATCCCCAATCGCCGTCTGAGCAAGGGCAGTAAGCGCTGCTTCTCCATCGTCACCGAGAGCTTGATTCCAGTTGGTGAACGTGTATCCACTACCAGAGTATCCGTACATTGAAGTCTTGCCTTCCCGCCAGAGCTGAAGCTGCTCGGCAGCATAGGTTGTGTCGTACTTGAGACGGTCGTATCCAGTGTAGTTGCTCTTCAGCTCGTACGAGCTCTGAATGCGGATATGATCCTGAAGGTTTTCACCTACTCCTGGAAGGTCAATAATCTGATCAATACCAGCGGCAGAGAGAACATCTGCCTTGCCAATGCCGGAGTTCTCGAGAATAGAAGGGCTCAGTAGACCTCCACCGGAGACAATAACCTCGCGGCGAGCAGATAGGGCGGTTCCGTCGACAAGAGTCACGCCAGTAGCACGCAGACTGCCATGGCAGGTAGTCTCCAAATTGACTTTGGCGACCTTTGAATCTGTCAAAACGAAGTGGTTTGGACCGGCTAAGGGCAGGTAGGAGTTTGCGCTGTAAGATCGATTATAGTGTGTCGGCTCGATGCTGTTGGGCGAGTACAGGACACCCAGAACGTTGCCGTTCAATGATTCAAGGTTCGTTTCGATGCCCAAGCTGTTCATGACCGGGAACAGCGGGGCTTGGTGTCTGGGGATGAGCCGGTTGATCAGAGCCTTGATAGGTCCGGCATTGCCAACGCCCTCGCTCCCCGTGTAGTACTGGGTTCTGGCCGAGGTGAAGTTCTCAGACTTCATCATGGCGGATCGCATCGATTTTCAATTCCACCCTGGGTTGCCAAGCTCTTCCCATCCGTCATACTCGTGAGCGGACGCCCTATCGTATGAGAAGAGGTTGAGCGCGGAGCTCCCACCCAAAACGTGCCCTCTGGTCTGAACCCAGACACGACCATTCGATCCCTCCTGCGGCACAGTAGTGAGATTCCAGTCGTACTGGCTCCCAAACGTCGAACCTCTCCGACCCGGAATCTCAATGCGCTCATCGCCGAGCCCTGATGGACCTGCTTCGATGACCAGGACTGTCGCGTTCTGCAGCCCCTGGCTCAGACGGGTTGACAGCGCGACTCCAGCAGTCCCTCCGCCTACGATAATCTGTAGGGTCATCAGTTAGTTCACATCATAATTCTAGGCGGATCTAATTGGCCAGAGAGCACAAACGTAGTCAAAGGCCTCGTCAGTCGGCTGACCAGGAGATGCTGACGCCGCTGCCACGAACAGGGCCAGGATCGAGGCGACAGGTAACATTTTGGTATATCGAGATCTTCGTGCGAGGTACCTTTGAAATAATAATCAAGAGTTTGATCTGAATCAAGCGAGCCACGCGGATAAACAGGTTTAGATGGCGCATAGGGCTGGAAGAGGCATACTTTGCCGGCCTGGGCGGTGGCACGAACGTCGCTGGGAAGTGTGTCTCGACGGCGATCGGGATGCTCAACCCCACTTGGGAGTCCTATTGAATCAGACCTACTTGTATACAAGGGCTTAGACGCTTGATGGATGCTTTGGATCAAGATTATGGCATGCTTTTATATGAGAGGACCTTGGGGCCCTTGGTGATTCATGTGGCTTCGCAGAACGCGGGATAAAGTAATTAAGTCATTTCAGACGACCCATGGAATTGAGTTAGGGCACAACACAGCCGGGCGTTCTGGTAGACGGGAAATCTACCCTTGCAGACCCAGCGCGGCATGGAAGACGATTAGATGAACCGCCCGAGAAGACGTGGGTGGGTGGCTTGGAGGGTAAAAGCTCTATCCGCTCCTGGGCGGGGTGAAAACGGCTGAGCTTCTAACACTAGAGAACCCTCGGAGGGACATTCAATGGCGCCGGCAACCTTGATCTTACCTACTTTATTCGCAGAGTACCATGAACCGTTGAATTTGCATCGTCCTAACGCCTTGGCTCTGCAGTCTGTCCTAGTTGTTGCGAGGTGGGCGGGGTTCCTCGGACTTTGCAGCAGGGAGTCGGCAGTTTACCCCGGTCGTGCCCCCCGCCCACTCCAATACGAATCTCCACACCAGGAGCGACAGCGGCATCTGTGTGAAGACGGTCTACCGCTAGCTTAATGTTCGCTTACAGGGACAAGGGGTGTGTGGGTTGCACGAGAAGGCGCCAAGATGGCGCGGTAAAGGGGTTGATGGGCTTTGCTGAAGACTCTACCCGCCGCAACCAAGTAAGCACAGACAAGACTGGCAGGTCACTATGGTGATGGAAAAGACTAGATCATTCACTTGCTTCTGCCATCTCATTCGAATTTACGGAGTACTGTCGGAACTGCAGTCGCGCTGTTTTTCATGTTCTGACCTCACGCTGAGGCGTTGAGATATTTCTGTCCGAACAAACACCATTGTTTAGCACGTTAGGGACAATATCCTCTACTGAGGCAATGCTGGAGACGGACTAGGGGATTGATATGGACAATCTCGACAGTACATGGGACGAATCCTATGCACCATGTCCAGGATCTTATCCCCTACTACCCAGGAAGGGCTCGCTATCGGACTTCCAAGCTGACTGGACTCAAGACCGGGTGTCTTGACATCGAATGAGACCACGTTTGTTGGTGCGTGCTTGGGAGAATATGAATATTTGACTTCCAAGAGGCAATGTTCTTAGGCAACACTCAACATTGCTCCATAAGTGAAGCTTCATTCCCAGCTCTCAGCATGTACTAGCAGCCTTCACAGTTTGAGAAACATCGGCATCTTCCATCACAAGACTAGCGCGACCCTAGGCCTAGAAAAAGGATATCTCTGTACAAGGAGTCAACTCGTCTCTGATGATCCGAGTCTTGCGATTACCTTCTTTTCTCTTGCATAGTGCCCAGCCAAAAGTGTGGGGATGCGAGTCATAAACCCAAAGAGGCGGGAGCTAGGGTGTAATCAACACCGCGCAAACACTCCCTTGACTCCCAGGTCTCGAGAAGTTGAATCTGCACCGGAGCGGAGCGGGTTCCGCATTCCAGACGGCTATCCTGCTGCTATCCCTTTGCATTCACAGGACCAGGCACGGGAAGTCTAATGTCGATTCTGCATGTCTGAGTCACATCGTCGGCCGAGTGGTCAAGCAATATCGGGGAGGAATCCGAAGAGCCACCATCCGGGCGCCACAGATTTTTGCAGATTCCTTGAAATATGCAGACGGACTGTTTGATGGGTTCTGCGGTGGGCTTGTTTGAAACAAAATGCCCAAATAGTGCAAAGCTATTGTCCGACAAAACTGACTTATATGACTGGCATCTGGCCATTGCTGAGATGGCGGCATCTTCCTCCGTCATGTGTGTTCTCAGACACGCCACGACGGCGTGCCACTGATCTTAAAACAAGATCTCGACGATACCACTTGCATAAACGGATTTCTCCATACAGCAGCTATCTACGACGATGGGCGTCGTCCCTCGAGATGATTCACCACCACCGAATGAGGACGTCGGTCCGATCTCCTTTTCTCTCGCCCTCGCCCTGACAATCCTCCTCGTCATCACGACCGGCCTCCGACTATGGGTGCGAGCAGCGAACCGGAAGCTCGGCTGGGACGACTTGACCATTGCTCTCGCAGGAGCAACGGCAATCACACGGTTCGCCTTCGTCGTCTTGCAGTGGAAACACGGAAACGGCAGACATCGAGTCTATCTCAGTGATCATGACTACATGATGATCAACATGTATGGCTGGTGGGGACAGATGCTGCTCTTCATCTCTGTGGCGTTTTTGAAGGTGTCAATCTGTCTCTTGATCCTTCGCATCAAAGACACCAAGTTGCTAAAGGGCGTGCTGCACGTCATCATGGCCGGTGTCCTCATTACGAATTTCGGGGTCGTGATCATTTTGATAGCCGAGTGTCAGCCCGTTGGGTTCTGGAGGGGCAAGTCAGCCGTGTGCTGGCCAACACACATCCGCATATACTTCATCTATGCGACGATTGGTATGATCAAGATATTTCGGAAGCCTCGGGGTCTCATCACTGATTAGAGTTGGTAGCATACTCGGTCTTGACGGACCTCATCTGTTCATTACTTCCCCTTGTGGTGATTTGGGACGTGAAGATCCCTCGACGGACGAAGATATCAGTCTCCTGCTTGATGGGACTGGGCCTTGTGTGAGTTGCTCTCAAGCGTCTGTCAGGTTGTATCAATACACCAGATCACCTCATAATCTCTTTAAATTCTAGGGCGACTGGGTTTGGAGTTGCCAGAGCAGCTTCACTCGGAATCTCCACCTCCGACTTGAGCTGTGCGTCCCCTCCCCCCCTTTACTATTTTCAACGAGTTAAGGCAGAATTTCATATAAAGATTGACAAATATTTATCAGGGGCATACTGTATCGCGGGTATTTGGTCAAACCTCGAACTGTTCTTGGGTATCATCGCCGCAAACCTCGCTCTTTCAAGGTCCATCTACGTCCACTTCTTCAACAATGGTAGAACGCAGCAGACACTTCCAGCGACAACTGACAGATGTGACCCCTTGCAGTCTGGGTATCTCAGTAGCAAGCTGCGAGGCGACCGCTTCGACTTGCCTTCGACGATGATTAGATCACCTCGTCGAAGAGGGTCGGAGACGAGGAGCTCGGATAGTGATATCCCGCTAAAATCAGGTATCCAGAAGAAGACAGAATTTTGGTGGACAGAGGATGACGAAGGTCAGCCGCAGAGACAATCTCCGTGGATCGAGTTTGATGGGAGTGATGCTGCTGTAGGTAGCACCTGTACGTGAGCTCTGGCAGCCGCATTCTCCAGGTAGGCAGCAATCTTCCAGCGGCTCGCATCTTGATGCAAGAAAAGTTTGTGAAATTGAAGTTTCAACTCATCTTACGCCCAAATTTCGTTTCGATTAGAACCATACACTCTGAAGGACAAGTTATTATACAGCTGCTCTGAGCGACAATCTCTAATTTACTACATACAGCATAACTTTACTGTCATGTAATCGGATAACCTAGACATCCATCATGACGTTGAGATTCGAATCCGAGACCTTTGACCGCAGGACGGCGATCCCTCAGCAGTCGACGAAACTACAGCACCAACTTAATCCACACTCATGACTGCATCAAGCACCAGACGAAGTCCTAGATTCTCCTTAAATGCCTTCAATCCATAGGTGGTTTCAGTGAACCCACCACCCGAGAAACAGGTTTCCCCAATAGCCTACGTCTTGTCAACGAGGCGCGGGCGCGACATGACCACCGTCGTGAGTAGTCCCTCTCGACCGCCGCGACCTCGACAACTTCTCCTTCTTGCCACATCGCGGCACCAGATCCTCCTCGAGCAGAGCTTGAAAGCACGGAAGCGGCGCCACGGGAAACCACGTCTTTGGCTCGTGGTCAGCCCACGCCTCCTGCCACTGCTGTGGAGTCCAATCCCGGTGATCTTGCACGATCCGGTCGACGTTCCACAGCTCGCCCGGGTCAAAGTTGCACCTCACAATCGATGTCCCTTATATGATATCCCTCATGGCACGAGGAAATCCCCGGTAAAAGTATCCGGTTCTGCGGGCGACTCGGAGCTTGTTGAACACTACAGACCGGGTCAGGAACAACTCCGCTGGAGGGACGGTACCCTGGTCCACCAATGCAAACCAGGCAACCTGCCATGCGACGTCTCGCTGGATCGTCGTCTGGAATATTTCTGTGCACAGCTGAGGCACCGGCTGGCCGTCAAGAACTAGAGTGAAGGATGTAGGTGGCATCCCCGCCGGGGCGAGAGCGAGGGCTTCCATGACCCACTGCGCCACATTGGCGGTGACCTGCTTCGCCTCCAGACCCCATGGTACCGGCTCGCGTCGGGTCATGTTCCGGTATTTGGCCTGGCGACGAGTATCCGGGGTGTTGAAGTTCGAGTCTGGTAGTAAGGCGTTCCGCCACAAGTTGACCCGGCGCTCGATCCGGAGGCCGGGGTTCTGCTTGCAATAGGGGATGAGGCCAAGCGCGTGACACTGTGGTTTGGCTACTGCCTCGCGGTCCTCGTCGAGGATGATCCGTCGCAGATGTTCACGCAGCTCCTCAGGCATCGATTGCAGGAAACAGACTGCCGCTGCAGCGGCAGAAAAGCGATAGGTGGAACGATCCTTTGTCGTCATTGCGCCGGCGAGCCGACTGTCGGTGTCAATATCCAGACCGCTTGCCAAGTCGTTCAATACTTATTCGCAGGGGATAGCCCAGTGTTGGACGGAACATTTGGCGATTCGAGGGGCATCGTGCGGCTCGCTGTCGAGGCCCGCTCTCGTGGGATCCGCCCAAGCATAGTGCCTCTCGGAAATGTCAGCGACATCGGGGATAGACGACGCTGCCAATGCCTCTTTGCAGAATGCCCGATACCGTGACGGTGACTCGCCGAAAGGTCCGCGTCGTGTCAATGTATCAGCCAGGTCATATTCTTCCCTTGAATCTTCAAGCAAAGGAGCAAGCTGTGGGTAAGCCAGTTTCAGTCTCTCACGGGCAATCTTTGGCATGGTGTACCCTGCTCGATGAAAAAGATACTCTTGGCTCGAGTCGACTGCTTTGACCAAGATGTCGAAGTGGAGGGCAAGAATACGCAGCTCTCTGGAAGTAGCGGTTGAAAATGTAATGGTGTTCTCGCGCAGAGCAAGTCCTCTCACCTCGTCGGCTACAAGCTTGCAGGTGAGCGACAGCCCGAGATCAATCGGAAGACCGTCGGCCCTTTTGAGTACGCCCACGATGATACCAAGGTTGCCGTCAGTGCTGCCAGAGCTGTTGATGTTTAGCGTTCTTGCGATTAGGGTCTCCGAGTTACATACGTATCCGCAGTCTGTCCTGACGTAATGGCCATAAATTTCTTCTCTCACCTCACGGGGGAGGGAAAGAAAAGTCGATTCAGAAGCCATCTTTTCAGCAGTGAGGTTGAAGATGAGGCGTCGCGGTGAGCTCTGTGCAGGTCGAAGCTGGCGAGGATGTTGAGGGAGGATGAGGAAGCAGTTAACATTGGAAGCTCTCCAGTCCGGGCGGGGCGTGGTGGAGTCTTATACACCATAATGTCTCGAACAGGTACATGCTAAGGTGGGGGGACTGAACTATGGCTGAACTCAATCGCGGTGTATCTGAGTCATCCGATGCTACACACCCGCGAGGTTACCACTAGTAACTGAGGCCGCCCAAGGTTCACGCGGAAGGTGGAAATAGTTGAAGTGCGTGAGTTCAACCAACAGGGGCCATGTATTCAGTGTAAGTGAGCTGGCAAGGTACTAGCTTTCAGCATTTCCGCATTCACATCATCAAGGTTGGCACTCATTTTCCCGGCAATATGGATTAGTAATATTATGTACGTCTGCGCCTCCGCCCCTTTAAATCAATGGGCTAAAAAGAAAAAAAAATCCACACAATTACATATCGAATAGTCACACTATTGCAGCGTCTACTCAACGCTGTGGACACGGTTGTTTTGAGATAAACCTCGAGATCTCAGGGTTGTTGAATAACCTCTTCTTCATCCAGGCTCTCAGTCAACTGAGGGTGGTCGGTCATTGGTCAGCATTGACTGTGAACAGGGTATAGGCCACTATGAGCTCAACTTACCCTCAATGGCCTCAAGATGAGGAAAACTTAGACAGAAAGATACCTCTATGGCATCAGTTGCCTAGTACTTAAAATGAGGAACTGTGACCTGCAATGCAGGGCAACACAAGTGTGTCAGCTGAGTGAAGAACGATCCTAACCCGAGGTTTGGAATGAACATACCTTGCCCAAGCTTGACAATTAATCCTTCCAACCACTCTACACAACGCAAAGATGGATCACGTCTCCTGTATCAAGATGATGATGACCAGCTAAGATGCATCTGTTAGGACAGGTACAGCCAGCTTCAGATGAACCAGTACTCACAACGATCAACATATCCACCAACAAGCGACATAAACCACTCTCAACAGCCCGAAAATACAAAACCGAATTAGAGCACTTTGTGCTCAGCATCAGCCCAGACCTCAGTACTGAAAAGGATGCGCTCATCACCGTGGCGGCTACAGCAAGAGATGAGTATAGGTATTAAGTGGCATTGTCGCATGGACAGCATGTGGATCACTCACTCCTTTGTCGAGTAGCCATCTTCCTACTCTCTATCGAACGAGGTGCTGAAGGTCGACAAGACCTCAATGTCTTAAGGGGCGAGTTCAAACGACACCACCGTAGCTTCAAGCGGAACAACTACACGCCGATAGAAGCACAGCACTTCCAATATTTCGTCCTGTGTCCAATGATCAGTAAATGTCTTGTTGGTGAGATGGCCTATGTGATTGGGCAGACTTACGACGGCGACGCGACACAAGACTACCTCGGCGAAGTTAAGGAGGCCATAGAGAAGACCTTCGTAAAGTGGGAGTTCTAGAGACGGCAGATGTTAGCATGCAAATCCCTGTCATAGGACAAAGATCCATCACTTACTGAATGGTAGGCGGGCTGAAGTTGAGGGGGGCTTCTTCAGCGCCAAGATCTCCTTGTGAGAGAGCGAGGGATCAGCATATCGAAACATTGGAGAGGGGGGGGGGGGGAGGAGGACGAGAATGAAAACGACGTACTCATAGTAGAATAAATTGCTTTAATCACTACGTTCCTGCGAAGAGGAGATCAGGATGTTTGATGGACGGGCCGTTGAGCATGTGCACGTCCGTCCACTCGAACTGGCCGAGACCAAAGTTGTGAATGGCCCACATGGAGGCCTCGTAAGGAAAGTCGTTGAGAAGCTTCGCGATGGAGACTTTTCGGACCCAAAATGTGTTGAGCATTCCGTGAGCCACCATATTCGCCTTGTACAGCGACCCGTGTTGGCGACACTCCCTGACAGAAGCCTGATCATCCTTCCTTCTCTTGGCCTAGAGCGGGTCGATGTTAGCGAAATATCTGATCGGTAGGTTTCGCCTCTCCTTGACGAGCAACGGGCAATCGAGAAAGAGGTGCTCGACTGTGTGCTTTGCCAAGCCGCAAGGACACATGCTCGTCTCGGCGAGCTGATGACCACGTCAGCGATGAGTTGAGGGATAGATTGGGGAGAGGGGGGAAAAGCAGACAATACCTTTCTCGGATGGAGGTATGAGTTCAGTCCAATGAAGCCAGTTCTGCACTGGAAGAAAATGGTGGACTGGGCACGCGAAAGACCCCTGTATCGCCTGAAGTTGTTCGGGCCCCACGGAGAAGACAAGGCGACAGGCTTGCCACTCAGGCCGCGGTGCGCCGTCTTGGACCTGGTATGCTCAGAGAGGTACGCCCGCCACAAGCTGGCACTGAGCAACCTGGCCTGTTGTTTGATGTACTGGGTGACAGGTTGCTCCGGGAGGGTATTCCCTGCGAGGACCTTTGCGTGGACGTAAGAGGCCCTGTAGGGATGCGAGGCTAGGAATGCGAAGTGCGCCATGGCGAGCTGGTGGAGGTAGACGGCAATTGGCATAACAAACAACTCCTTGTGTAGCATGAGACTCGACGTCCTCCTGAAAGCGCCGGCGACGAAAGCGAGACATTCGCTCTGAAGAGAACGAAGCTCGTGGATGAGCTTCTGCTTGGTCTGATACAACCTGGATGCCGAGTTACCGAGAACGAACCAGACTGGACAAGCGTATGAGATGATGGGGCGCACGCTGCTCAGGTAGAGCTCCCTCATCCTTTCGAGACTCGGGCCCCAGATGGACTTTGACATGCGCTTGATCCATTCCATTCTGGCACGTACATTTTCCTTGATCTACAAGAGAATGTTAGACGAAAAGGTTTGCTCACGGAATTGGCTCAAAAGACTTACTCGTGCAATGTGACGCTTCCAGTTGAGCTGATGGTCAGCGGCCACACCAAGAATGATGAGACCGTCCGGATCAGTCTCTTTTACCAGACTATTCGGCGTGATGTTGGGTATGTCTGGAATGAGTTCGCAGGGTGGCTCGTGAGTGTTGGGCTTGCGGAAGTGCATGACCTGTTCCTTTGCGGGATTCAACAGAATGCCGCGGGGTGTCGCATTACGCATAAGGTAGCTCGCTGTTGTAATTGGGCGAGCAGTCGGCAACTCTCCTCCCAATGATCGGTAGTAACCATGATGTACGTATCGTCAACGTACGAGAGGCTGATGCTCATCTTGCTGGATGATCGGTTGTCGTTGAAAATCTCCAGCATCGAGGCCGTGAAGAAAGCAAACAGAATCGGGGATAACGGACTGCCCTGAGGAATGCCAACGTTGATGAAGAACTTTTCTGAAATGAATCCAAGAAGTGTGGCTTGGGTACTGCGGTTGGAGAGAAACGACCAGACAAACTGGAGAGCCCATGCAGGCAATCCCTACTGGACCAAAATTTTGATCATTGCTGCGTTTGACGTGGTCAAATGCCCCGCTGATATCGAGGCCCAGAATGCTCGTCTTCCACTTCTTGTTCCGCGTGGCAGCAGAGTACTCCGGCGTGGTACTGTGTGGTGCACTATGGTCGGCATGAGACCTCTGAAGTCGGCTTTCTGCCCCGTACGGCGCGGTGGACCTGCTACGAAATGCCCCGTGGCTCCGTTAGTGGCTCTCCCCGGGCCCTTGCCAATGCCCGTGAGCCCCGCCGACACCCCCACTGACCGCCGAATCACAGTCTACAGCATTCAAATCGGGTGGATGCTTGCCACAATTAGCAAGGTGACCAACACTTACGCCCTCACTCCAGACTTGCTTTCTTCAGGATCGTAAGAGTGGCATCATTGGTGTCAGCTACAGCGTGAGTACAGGCGGACACTTTCCCTACCCCGCCGCCATAGGCTGACGGACAATCGGGGCGCCTTTCACCGCCGAGAAGCAAAAGCTCGGTCCCGATGTCCTTCCCCTCCCAATCTTTGTCCAAAAAGCATCCCATCATTCCATCTGGAAAACGCCCCGAGTCGCACTCGTAGGACATGACACAATGCCGAGCATCTCATTGGTCCAGAGAGATGCTGTACGACTACGGGCGGACGTCCGGTCCGGGTCCTCGTCCAGCCGACTCGTCCAACGGCAACGGCCTTTGACGCCAAAACTCCGAAGTGGCGCACCCGTCCACGGACTGTTGTGACACTGAATATTGGACGCAACAAGCCACTCGGAGATGCTTTTCGTAAGCAGACTTGGAGCCATACTGAGCGAACCACGAGACTGATTACGTTCCACAGAGGAATGACGATCAACAAGTACCTGCGGATGTTTCTTAGACTCTCAGCCCAAGGTAAAGTAGAATCTAAATATCGAGCTACCCCACAGCAAATCTCGCTTTCCCTTTCCCCAGACCATCCACCCGCAGATCCTCCACACATCACCACATCATCTCCACTCCACCGTACAGATACATAGCAAACCAAGACGACATGGCGATAAAAGCCTCCACCGGAGTCTGCAGACCCTCCGAACTGGCCCACCTCGTCCTCCGCACCGCCAACCCCGAAAAGCTAGTCTCCTTCTACCAAACCTTCCTCGACGCAAAAATCACCGCCTCAAGCCCCCTCATCACCTTCCTCACATGGGACCACGAACACCACCGCCTCGCCATCCTCAACGACCCCACCGCCGTCCCGCGACAAGACAACACCGTCGGTATGGATCACTTCGCCCTGACATTCGACTCTCTCGGCGACCTGCTGCAGTCCTACAAAGCTCGTAGGGACCTGGGCATTGAGCCTATATGGTGCGTCAACCACGGCATGTCGACGAGTATGTACTACCGCGACCCGGACGGCGGCAAGATTGAGACGCAAGTGGATGTGTTTGAGACCAAGGAGGATGCTGTTGCATATATGACGAGTGCAGAGTTTGGGGAGGATCCGAGGGGGCCCAGGTTTGATCCTGAGGAGATGGTTAAGAGGTTTGAGGCTGGCGAGGATGAGAAGAGTTTGATGAAGAGGACGGCTTTTGCGAAGGAGGAGACGAAGGGCTGAATATGGGATGTAGTTTGCATGATGGTATCGTGGGTTTGGGGAGTGCATAGTGCTCGTGTAAGTCGCAGAAGCATTCCATAATTACATGCAATGACGAAGATAGGTCTTGAGGCATTTCAAGACATGTGATAAACATCGAAGCCTTGACAAAGTTTCTTCGAAACCTGTCATCTACTAGCTTGCACCACTAAGCTTATCGATCTTCTTCTACGTAAACGTCAGTTCTAACCGTATGTGTACTTGACACTTGACAGACCTGGCAAGGTCTTGACAGCTGACCCCGGAAACGCTTGATGTTCAAGCCAACTGACTACGTCAGGAGAGATGTAGCAAGGGAAGGCCCGTTGAGTCCGCAGCTTTGACCATCAGATCACGCAACGGGCATGTGTAACTTTACCATGATTGGTATCATCACTATTTCTGTTGCTATTAGTGCTTTTTTGACAGTTTTTCTCATTTAATCCCTCATGTGTTTGAAGGAGCGGAGAAGGGGGGCTTTAAAGGATATGATGAACTGCTCTGCATGCACTGAAGATACACACAGTCCAGAAGTCTACATAATAGATCTATTGTAAGTTCTCATGTGGCGATACCATTGCTGACTGCTTCCAACGTTTTCAATTGTGTACTCACTTAGTAATCAGTCTATTTGCGGTCATACAAGTAAGTCCTTTGGCTGATTTGATTCGATCTGCGTTATTCTCAATTCCCACAGTGACCACCTCAGCTCAGATAGCCTTTCAAGAAAGACGTAGAGGTGTTTGTATTGAGCTGTTGCATAGGTCACGGAATAAGCGTCATACCAGGCCGTGACATGATACCTGGAGGATAGGGGGCGGTATGATCTGAGGCGAGATGCATTTTATTCTCACGATTTAATCAGACTCTGCCTTACGCACTCATTAGATGACAAAAGACAAATTTGACTCACTGAGAGATAATCTCTGAAATTGTCAAAGGTGAATCCATAAGGTCTCTTGGTAAGAGAATGCTCGAAGTCGATTGGACCGTTACACAGATCTAACGAACATCAATTCCCAGTTGACTGCTTTCGCAGTACATCAAAATAGAGCCGTCCGCTCTAGCTCAAAGACTCTGGAGAAAGTATAAAGACACCATTTAAGCGCGGTAGATTGGAAGAATATTGCACGTGATGAACACTCTACGTGCTCGATCATACTCCGTTCAATTGTAACTTCGTTATCTGCCGGCGCAAAAAGAAGAACATTACCCCAAACATCTCATCTCCGTCTAGGCAGGCGATACAATCCCTCATTCCAGCAAAAGCCAGGGCATGCGCCTGGTTTTTTCTTGCTGTGGCTGGGACGAAACAGCATCAGCCAAGCCTTTTTGGCAGGCCTCGAGTGGCTTCGAATCTCCGAGGGCTGCAGATGACCCCTGTCGTCAACTTTAGTTCAGCCCCCAGCTGCCCCCAAAACTGCGCCCTAGGCCAGTATCGTGCTGCTGGTTGGTCCGTCGAGAGTTACACCGTCGCACTTTGGGTGACGTCAAGAGGCACGGGAAGTGGCTTGGCAGCGCGTCGTCGCGCCTGGACTTTCGAGTCTCTTGGCTCTCTTTAGCGATGTGTTGTTTCTGTGCTCTCTCTGTGTGTGTTGTCTGCCTCTGTCAAGTACGACTTGCACTACGTAGTGCCTGTTTGTGGTGATGCAGCTGCCAAGGATATGATGAACATGGCGGTGATGGTGAGAGAGCTCGCTTGGCATATTACCTGGAGGTTTCCCCCTTCACTGCTTGGAAAACAACCTCGTCTTTTCTTTCGCATGATATTTTGGTTGAGAGAACTCCATCGGAATATCTTCAAGACTCAATTCGGTGGATACACCACCGTTCTCTTCCCCTCCTGATCCCGAGTATCACCTAACAGGATCCATCCCCAGACCTCAAGAGCAACATTGCTTCTTGAGATGGCTCGCTTCAACCCCTTCGCACGTCGTCGGCAAAACACCACAACCCTTCCGACACATCGCAAAAGTAGCCAAGACACAAAGGTCAATGATCGCTGGCATGGAAAAGACTACAGCATGGCCCACCGGCCGCCCTTCATGCTCTGGCTCAAGGTGACATGGCTGGACATCCTCACCATGATCATCATGGGAGTCATCGCCCTAGTGGTACGCACCTTACCTTACATTCAACCTCTGATATTCAGCTAACACCACCTCTCCAGGTCTTCAGAGCGCACCCGCCAGCACACCGAACGTTCCCCGTCACATTTGACAACGGCGAGGTCGTCTACCCCCAATTCGCATACCCGCACATCCCGCAGTACATCCCCAGCCACGCCGCCACTGCCCTCGGCATCGGCGTGCCTATCCTCTCCATCCTCCTCTGCCAGATCAGGGTGCGCTCCTTCTGGGACATCAACAACGGCATCATGGGCCTGTTGTACTCCGTCATCGGCTCCACCGTCTTCCAGGTCATGATCAAGTGGCTCATCGGCGGATTGCGTCCCAACTTCCTCGAAGTCTGCCAACCCGACATCAGCAAGGCCTCCCAACCGGGCGGGAACGCAACAGGTCTCGATGGCACGGGCTACGGAGGCATCATGTGGACGTCGGATATCTGCACCAGGGAGATGGACGGCACGCTCTCCAACGCGATGGAATCTTTCCCCTCGGGACATACCACCGCGATGTTCTCGGGCATGGTGTTTCTGTATCTCTACCTCAACGCCAAGTTCAAGGTCTTTTCGAACCACCACACGCCCATGTGGAAGCTCGTCCTCGTATACGCTCCGATTCTCCTCGCCACCCTGGTCGGCGGCTCCCTAACGGTCGACCAGTCCCATAACTGGTACGATGTTCTGGCGGGCGCAATCATCGGGACTGTCTTTGCCTTTTCATCGTACAGGATGGCCTACGCCGCCGTCTGGGATTGGCGTATCAATCATATTCCCCTCCACCGCAAGATGCCTTTGGACTTCAACCTGGAGGCTATCGGAGAGAATGGCGCGGTGGTCACACGGAAGGCCGGATGGGGTAAGAGACGCGAGGAAAAGAAGACTGGTCTTGACAGAATGGTTAGCAGGACAAGGTATACCAGCGGCAGTAGGGATACGCGAGGTGTTGGTGTGCCCCGTAAGGCGGTAGCATCTCATCACTCGAGAGGCGACCGGCGTCCTTCTGGCGAGGACATGGTCTAGTCGGTCGCCGACTCGTTCTGCCGAGTGGGAATTTTTCTTGGTCCGAGGAGTTACGAATGATACCCAGATCTGAGATTGAAGCCAAGCGTGGTCCCCGATAGCCCTATCAACGATGGTACGATGGCAAGCGCCGTCGGCTCAAATACCTGCGTGTTTTGCTCGTCTACTTAGTACTCATAATCAATACTACACAACAAAGTTTTATTCAAAGCATCAACCAATGTCGGACCTCACTTCCCAATCATTAAACTCTGATCAGTTTCTCTTGGCTTGGCCAAGCTTCACAGACACGGCATTGGCTTTCGGGGCGCACGTTCATAACATGTCAATGGTATCATATCGGACATGATACTAATGACCACGCTGATCCAGGATTGTACATACGGTGCGGCGTACTCGGCGCCCGCGGCGCAAGCAGACTGCTTCTTCATGAAGTAATGAAGGCGGGCGCCCACGTGTCGCCGTGTCTTGGTCTGATGTCAGTCGTATTGATGGGACACAGTCAAGTCTGATGTTCTATGGGTCCTTCGAAGTTGCTCCACTATCCAGCACAGCCATGTGTCTTTGCGTCCCAGGTGCGAGGTTGCAGTTGCGGTTGCGGTTGCAGTTGCGGTTGCGGTTGCAGAGCTGCTATTATGAAAGTTTAAAAATAGCTATAGCTCTACCTCAAACGTACTTACCACCAGCCGCGGTTCTCTGGCTCAGAAACACTACGGGAGACCAACGGGAGACCGGAGGTCATTGCCCATTGGGAAGAGTCGTTCTAGTCTCGAACTTTCGCGGGAAGTTTGTGTGAGTTCACCATGTGTATGCGAGTGTGCGTCAATTGTCAAATTACGGACATGAAGCCGTTATGGGGTATTACTGCTGGTGCATGAGTTCGAACACGAAAGCGCAAAACTCAATTCCGCAGACGTCACGATGGGCCCTCAACTCCTTTGAATCAGTTGCACTTCATTTCGCCGTTTGTCTCGTTATTTTTCTCAGACTTGTGAGGTGGGAGTCTCGCACATATTGAGCGGTTCTTTTCGCGAGTCAACAGGAACAAAATCATTGCCCCGTGGGCTGTCTTCGCATGAGTCTGTGGTGTCTTGGCGCGCAAAGCGTTTCTTGGCGGCCTGAACTCTATCACAAAGATGCATCAGTCAGCGGATTTTTTGCGCTTGCTGCCCGCTCCAACTCACTGCCCCCCTGAGTTGCAGATCAGGTCCCAAAGAGTAGTCTTTCGGGGCGGGAAATCAGAGTTTTGCTACCTTACACTACGTGATTGAACTCTAATAATGAGGCAAACAAACAACCTTCGGGAAGACTCCGTGCTCTGGAGTGAGCGACAAACGATGTCGAACATCTTACATCGCCAATATCAAACCTTCCTTCGTCGTTGAAAATAGAAATAAGCCTGTCTCGGCGACTCTTTAAGCCTCAAAATAAGGTCGCATTGAGCCCAGCCAGGCGGATACTAGAAGAGGGCCTCCCGCAACCCCAGGCATGCTCCGCACAACCGAGACTCCGAACAAGAGAGAGATCAGTTAACAACATCATGTACGGGTAGCGTAGTATGGAGCTTTGCCTTAATCTGGAGGAAACCCGACAAGACGCCCTCATCCGCACGGATAGCAACCGTCCCCGTGCCCGCCCCGAGATCTCCGGGATCCGTAGACTAATCGGCTCGCCCGACCTTGACCCCTTGACCGGATAGGAGTCAAGTAGATTGGATTAAGCAACCCCACCACCTGTGAGGGGCCCCCCTCCCCTCTTCTAGAAAGACCTGTCAGCCTGTCAGGAACGTCAACTCTTACCTGACATGAACCTTGGAGACGAGCAGCAAAAGCAGCAA